GTTTAAATGTGCAACAGTTCAAATGATATTGAGTTAAAGCGTTATATAAAATTCACTATTTCAATTAAACAAGTAAGAAAAAATATTCTATGTTTTAATAAAACATGAGATATAATTTTATGTGGAGATCGCGCGTACGAGATAATACTTTTCGAATAAGTTATAACTCTTCCCCCACGAATGAAATTTACTCCACCAATGATCGTTCCACAGAAAAATAAATTATGCTTTATTCTTCATTATTGAAATGATACAATACTTACACGGTCCTTATTGCAAATTGCAGTCGTCCCATTTCCCACGTTACCGGCTGAAATCTTCGAAATCGTTGCTGACATATTCAAGCTCTAACCAGTCGTCAATAGATCTTCGCTATCAATCATTAAGTCGAAACTGATGTACATACAACAATAATATATCGTTGTCTCCCAAGTTCGGTGAAAAATCGAATGAAACACAGGTGTCGAGTGTACACTGATCGCCGAAAGAATTCACTTTCTGACAAGTAAAGTTCCACTTTGGAGAAAGAACAAATACATAAAATCGATTGTCTATGCACAATCTTTAAAGGAATATCCTTCGGTAGAAAGGAATTTAAGTGTTTTCTTCTCGTGTCGCGTAGACTATGAAAGTCTTCTTGGTATTTATTTTGCAGCGGAACCCATGCGCTCGTAAGGAAAGGCCGAGATCGCAACCGGATCGTTCACAATGGAACAAAAACTCGTCGAATGGAGAAATAAGAAGAAGGAAAAAAATAAAGACAATGAATACTTGGAACGTGGACAAAGAAAGGTCCACGTGAGTACACCGACCACAAAACTGATGTTAGTTAGTCCGCGTACTAAAGCGGAATACCTACCAACAGTGAGTTTGCTAGGTCGATCATGCAAGCCGATCTCCCTCCATGGTTTCACGACCAGCCGTGCAGATACCGGTACAGAAACGCACTTGTTGATCATCTTCAATCGAGTTCATTCAATTTACCTTCACACAGTAGATATTTATACTCAAAATGATGACCAAAATTGTTTAACGTTTCGGCGCTCGCACGTTACGTAAAATTTCATTCTTGCAGTTTTATATTACTTTTGATTGTTGATAACATTCTATTTGGGTGCTTTGTTAACCCTGCTGCAGTTTTCCGGATCTTCCATCTATCACAATTTTATGGAAGCTGTTATCACAAAAGTACATCAAACTTATTAGTAATGCACTCGGTTATTTCGACGTTATATTAAAATTTATTACCTGAGGTGGTACAACATATTTGTGTAAAAAGTATAAGAATATATCTAAATGTAGTTGAAATGACGAAAATAGCACAGAATTCAACACTCTTTATGAAATGACTTATTTTCATATTACAACTAACATATAACAAAAATAAAGATACAAAGAAAAAATTATTAAATATTTGAAAATCTTCAAACTTTCACATTTTAAAAGTTTTAATGAATTAAGCTTCTAATTGTTACGTATTTTATGTACTCCTTAAAGATGATACTTTTATAAAGAAAACAACGCTGTTGATACAACACACAGGCAATAGAATGCAAAGTGTACAAAATGTTACCAAAAAGGTCAAAGAACGACATCAAATATTAGGTAACATACATTAATTGATTTACACAAGTATACTGGCTGTAATTCGTTCGATGAAAAAGAAAATGAATAAATTTAAATAATTAACGTCGAAATACTAACGTCCTCCATGATGTGACTATAATTAATGGCTTTTACGAATGACACCGTTTGAAAAGAGTTAGAAACTTTCTTCGCTGATTATGATTAAAGTACGCAGGAAGAATAGAATACGTGGTGACATGAATGAATCCGTTAAACACACATCGCTGTAGAATTAAATTCACGTAACTAATGTTTTACTAAAACTAATGTGTATTCACGATCTTGAAAAAATCGGAAGATATAGGCACTTTTAAAGGACTCGATTAAAACTCGTAAAAACCATAAGTAATTTAGAAATTATGACAACGTAAAAAGTTTCATTTTTCAAAAAGGACTTAGATTAAATTAAAAAATAATGTATATTTTTGCATATGTCTGCTTTATTTATATTTAAACGTCTTTTTCTTACTTTTTAAAATAGTAAGCAGCCAATGTAACCAAAATAATCATGTGAGCCTCCGTAAACGACAGGACATGTATTCACAAAATTAATGTATGTTGTTATTCTTAGTATTGTATAATAAAGAAGTATACTAAAGAAGTATACATAAATACATCTAATTTTTTATTATGGAAGTCCCATTTAACAGAAATTGGTTCATTTCCATCTTTTACAATGTTACAGCGTACACCACTATGTACAAGAGAATTTTTTGTTTAAAATAGCTATACTTAATTTATTATTCTTTTCGATTGTTCAAATGTTGTGTATTCTTTACTCAAAATCATGAGCAGCTCGGCGAATTTGTATTGGTTTCAGCTATCATGTTGAAATAATGAAAATATGTAGTTCCATTTAAAGAAATTACGATTGCCTCGAAATTTGAAAAAATGCACTTGGGACAAATATTTTGAGTATCTTAATATATATCTTTTCGAGCAAAGTATAATTTTTCTTTGAAATTTGTTCACTGTCAAAATGAAAAAAATATGTTTGAGGTGTTCAAATACGATGGGACACCCTGTATGTGTTTGAGATCTTACAGGTTCTTCAGATCTGTCCTGCTTTCTCTCGCAATTATTTCCGGTACGTAAATATGTACTTGGTCGAGTGGTAATGAAACATTACGAATAAATCCAGGTGAATGTTGTAAAATCGTTCTACGTTATAAATTAACGAAGTATTTATTACATTCGCGAATCCTGTTTTATAGATAAATGTTTATTTCAATTAAAGATTTTGTATATGTACTATTAGATTTTTAAATTCCTCATTGAATATTACATCCTTTTAACAACTTCCAAATTCGTCTATTAAAATTACATTTATTAATTCGCAATAAATCTGCAAATATTTATGCAAATATAAGTTTTTATCATCTCTCTTCTTCAAGTAATTTAGTATATTAATTCATATTCAAAATGTGTATATAAATGCAAAACACTTCATTAACACATATATTTATTGTCGTTTTAAATGATTTTATTCTGATAGAATATCATATAAATAATTCAAGTTATATTTGGAAAGTGCAAATAAATAAAAAAAAAACAGTAAAATAAGTGCCAGAATTGAATGTTTGAGAAAAATAATTTTTTATTTACTAAACTGTTATACTAGGCTACATAAATTTACAATATCCTTGTTTTAATATTTTAAAAACCCGTTAGTCAACAACGTGAAGAATTTTATATTTAGAGAAAGGATGAATATCTTTTTTATATTCACTCTTCGCCTGTATTACAATAAACAATGTTTGTACTTGAAACAGTGAATTATACTGATAATAATATTAATTCTAATTAATTATAAACTTATTATAAATAATTTAAATATTCCCGCCTTGATGCAAGCGCTTCGAGAGTATCGAGAGTATTTGTTTTGGATAAACGCCATGTTCATAATCTTAGATCAAGTTAAACGAACTGAGTGACGTATTTTGACGCATTTAATAAAATTATTTTTAACCCATTAAAAATTTTTTAAATTTAGTATTATAATAGAAACAGGATTACAATTATCCAGACAGTGAAATTTTATCTCTAAGCAATTTAATGCAATTTTATGAACGTAATAAATATTTGAAACATCAATACACATCAACTTCATTATGAATTTATGAGTATTAAACGTCACATATATACAAGAGCTTAAATATAAATTTCACTAATCTACTTTTAAATTAAGATAGCTGTTAAGACGGAGTATTGTTTGTACTATATTGGACACACCAGCAGTAATCAATAAAATGTTCAAGTTTTTGGTATATATAAATAAATATTTTATAAATGATAATATTATTATTGTTATAAAAATGTTTAGAATATTGTGTTTTTTTACAGTTAACCCTAAGCGTTGGAATTTATGCTGGTATTTACATAAGTCAGAATTATCAGGTATGTTCAAATTACTTGTCATTTTCTTGAGGTTGGATATAAAAGTGAAATGTACAGAATGCTTCAGAAATAAGTGGCCAAAATTTTGTATCATTCTTACCTTAAGGATGAAGAAAGATCATCATTTTGTAACACATAGGTACAAAAGTTTTTATTCTTTAATACATATATCACTTTTATACACGTAGAAATTTTACATAAATAGCCACCATATTGATGGAATAATCTAACTTGTAAATAGGTTTGCGTTTTGAGTAATTCGATTCAAACTTCTATATGTATTTTGAAAAAATCTGTAATACTTGTGAATAAACTTAAATTTTGATTAAATAGGTTCAAAACTTTTATAAATATGTTACAGAAGATTGCATGATCTTCTAAATCATTGTTCCTTTGTTTCTTTTTGCAATTAGTTATGGTATTCTTTATACATAAATAATGTATAAAACAATAATTAAAATGATAAGAATATACATGATTTTCATATGGGTACACTTCTTGTAAAACAGCATTTATTTGTAGCTTTCTTAAAAATATTATACTTTCATATATGATTTGCATTAATAGATTAAGCTTTTTAAAAACCAATTTATAAAAGTATACCACAAGTAGAACAAATGTACCTTACATCTGAGTAATATTCGTATCCTGTAAAATGAACATTTTATATTAGATTTAATTCAAATTTGTGAATACCTATTTCTGAAATAATCTGTACATATATTAATAATACTATTATTCAGTTTTAAATTTATTTCAGGTACCCAGGGTAGATGAACCAAGTAAAATAATAGAACGGATAAAGGAATTTGCAGATGAATATAAGAAAAAGTAATAATTAATAATAATTTATTTAATGATTTTGACATAATATACTATGTATATATAAATATGTAATACAGTTCTTTTGATTTTTAATAAAACATTTTGTGTAATGTGTGAATGTTTCTGTAATTTCTGCATAAAGTGTACATAAATATACAATAATTATTTATTTCTGATGCATATATAACATGAATTTAACTATATTTTACGTCATACATAAATAAATCCACCACCAGAATATTCCAACCTTGCTTGTGGTTCCACAAATGCTAACCAATCAGATGCATGCGTTGGAAGTAATCCCATGGACTGACATTTATATAGTGCTAATGCAATATTCACCAATTGTCCCAAAAAATATACAAATTTTTGACCAAATGCATGAGTTCCTTCTATTACTTTAAATGCTGAAATAAGTAATTTTAAAGTATTATGATTAAACTAATATAACACAACTTATCATTACATGTTCTATTTTTAATATTATTGTCAGCAAATACCTTGATTTTTAATATCTATATTAGAAATCAATTGAATGCATAATCTATTCTATTTGAAATAAATTATACAAATATAAATATTAATATAATACTTACTTTGCTGAAGAACAAACAATGCCTTCACTGGCCTGATGATTAGCATACCAACCATCATAATTGGAAATATTGATATGGAATTACCCGCCATATACATTATAAACAAATTCATTGGAACCTGTTTCAGAGGTCCTAAGGCTAGATCCCATGATTTTTTTATTATCAAATGATTGGAATCTGTTTCTCTAATAGAATCTGCAGCATGAAATAAAGCAACAGCTGGTGTATAACCTGGTGGAGAAGCAATGTCCGCATTCTTTTCTTGCTTATTTCTACAAAAAAATAGAATTATTTAAATAAACTTTTTTATAATAATTGAATATTTAATTGTAATGAAGTACAAAATTAATATATGTTAATATTTTAATACTATATTGTGAAAAATCGAACAATAGAATACTTGTACAGATAAACAAATACACAGAATAACCTATATCAGATTGTCTATCTATTCAAATACGTATAACGTTATTGAAAAATTATACTTTTTACAGATATATTTAGTTTCCAAATATTATGTAGCAGTACAATAATAGCATATATAGCATAAACTTAAGTGAAAATGACGAAACTTGACATATTCTAATAAACACAATATTTCAAGTTCAAGAATTATAAGTTAAGAAGTAAGGTTACTGACTTGTGAGCAAAATCCAAAGCCCATTTAGACCGTTTTGTATTTTGCTTAACTGCTGTCATTATTGCAACTATAATCTACACTTAAAATAATGTTATTATGGTTTTTCTACAGCTATGACATACGTGCATTCCCACTTACAATCGTTGTGTATAGTATTAACTAAATATGTATAGTCACTTTCATGATTTGAACATTGCTATAATCGTTATGAGAAAATACATAGTTAGGAATCGATATCAAGGTCGATACTAATAAGTATGAGGATAACTTCAAAATTAAACTTTTAATTTTAGCAATTACGATTAAAAGTAATCTTTTTTGACGTAAATATTTATTTTTATGTTTCAAATATGTATATCATTATATTTTAATCATGTAATTTAGTTATAATAATCATTTTTTCAAAAATTTGATAGTTTAGATATTTTAAAATTTGGATATTTAGATATTTAAGAATTCAGAATTTTGAAAATTTATAAACAGTAAATTAAAAGATTTACTACTTTTAAAATTTATATCACTGATATATGCGTTTTAACAGCTTGCGCAACACGAATGTTGAACACTATATTGTATGAAAGTTTCTGTCGCTAAATAAAGTACACTATATATAATGTGTTTACATTCTTTCGTGACAAGAATTTTATTAATCAGAATGTGGTGAAATGAATAAAAATATAGTTTAAAGTTATTTGAATATTGATTATGTACATTCAAAATAAAACATGGTACAATGTTTCGTGCCCGGATGTCGGAACCGATCAGACACCCAGAATTGGAAAAGAAATACTCATAGGTCAAATAATGTAAAAGTTTCATTTCATAGGTATTAAATTTTTTTTTACTTCACATATACTTTTAAATTATATTTTTTTTTACTTTTTTCCTTTTTTATAGATTTCCAAAGGACCCTAGTATATGGTTACAGATATTAGGTATCACATCATTATTGGTTTCAGAAAGATCTCGTATTTGTTCTGTTCACTTTGAAGAAAAATGTTTTGATAGAAAAGGTTGTTACCCTCAACTTAGACCTAATGCATTACCATCTGTATGTATGAATAATAATAAATACTTTTAACAGTTGTGAACAGATACATACATTGAACGATAATAATTTATTTATACTTATTTTTATTTCAGAAAACCATTATAACAGAAAAGTTATCTAATCCTATTAATGAAAATGAATTACCCATTGATGACATCAATCCAGCTGAATTATCGCCTGATACAGGTGTTTTTAAAATAATTTTAATTAATATAGGTTTGAAAGTACTTTCATTAAGCCTTCAAATGTTGAAGCTATGTATTTTACAAATATGCAGAGTAGCATAAACTTGCAAAATTTACCTGGCAAGAATTATACAAAAAGATATACATACATTTTTTTTAAGCAACTATCATCTTACAATTAAAGGGTTACTTAACATATCTGTTCATAATAGGAAACTATGAGTAACATCAGTATATTTAAATTAACATAATATTCTTTATTCTTTTAGTACAATCTATGGTATTACAAAAAGAAGCAGTCACTCCCCTGGATGATATTTCTAATTCACTTGATAAAAGTCTATTATCACCACAACCATTGATATCAAAAGTGGATAAGGGGACAATGGTGTCACCTTTACTAATTTATAATTCCCCAGAGAAAATAAGATTAAGGGAAAGGATTAAATTTGTAGAATCTGAGTCTAGGAAAAAAGTACGAGCTTTACAACAACAATTACGAAGAAAAAGTGATCAAATTTTGAAGCTAAGACACATTTTAAATACTTTAAAGGATAAAAAATTGTTAAATAAACATCAAGTTGAAATGATACAAACGTTAGGTGGATCAAATGGTAAAATTTAAAAATTTTTTAATTTTTTTATTATTCTTTCAATGCCAATATGCTCAAAAGGACTACAATCTACTTTAGCATTTAGAGAATTACTACTTATCCTTAAATTGTTTGTTTAAGATTTGGCAAAGTTGATAATTCATTAATTTTGTTAAAGACATTAATATATTATCATTTAGTTATTTGCATTTGAAAACATTCTTATTGCATACTGTGTAATTAAAGAACTATAAAACCAACGTAATTATTGATTGTCCAAAATCTACTCATAATAGATCATAATAAATGAATGAAAAAATCATTTATGGACTAAAATAATAGTTATATTAAATTATAATTTACATTGTGATATTAATAATATATTTTTATTACAGATGATTCAGTATCTAATGATGACTGAAAGTACATAAATTTTTTTTAACTATTGTGATACATTAAAATCAGTTTGCAATTCTTTCGGAAATATGCAATTTTGATCGATGAAGTCGATGGATTTATACAAAGAATTGATTGAAATAGATTACATACTTTAAATTTTAAAGTTTAAAATAATAGAAAAATATACAAAATGTAAAAAAATTAGTAGTGCATGCATCACTTAGTGGAACATGAACTAAAGAAAAGGTAAAATAAATTATTTTATAATTTATTATAAAAGAAATTCATTTTTAGTACTTCCATCATTTTGTGCTTGAAATTATTTCAAAATTTTTGTCCAAACTGTAATTCTATTGTGTGTTTATAGCACATGAAGTTCATATGAACTTTTTTTTTATTGTTAATGAAAAATGAAAATAAACAAAAAACAATGTATTATGTATCTGCAGTTCTCTTCACTCTGTTATAATGATAATTTTGGTTAATTTCCAATCGATATAATTTTGAATGTATATTTCTATCTATAATATATATACATATATATATTGCTTATTTATTTATCTTAATAACTTTGAAATGGATAAATATTGTGTGAATGATCGAAACAAACTTTTAGATAAAATTAATATGAACAAAAATTCTCTTAGCCAAAAAATCGTAAGATCTTTACAAAATTATAATAACTTATTTACATTCTATAAACCAAACATAATATAATTTTGTTAGAATTGAGAAAATATAATACATTCTATTAAATATTTAATTTCTTTTTAAATGCATCTTTATTATATTGTATCATTATAATTGTATTAGTACTTATATAGTGATTAAAACATTATAATGTTCATGACATTTAATAATTTATTAATTTAAATTTTGTTAATAATTTTATATAAATTACTATATTGTTTATAATTTCATAATTCATTTTTTTTTAGAAACATAGTACTGCAACATCTAATATTAAAGAATGTTTCACAGAATATTCTTTAGAAGATAAAGTTGAAGCTTTAAAAAACATGCTCTCTTATAATGAAAAACATGGACAAATTGGACCATCATATACAAATAAAATATGTAATTTAAAAAAAACAACTGGTGTAAGATTATATCTTTCTGATATCTATAACTTCTAACTTCTTTTACAATAAATGATATAAATTTATGTATGAGACATGTGTATGTAAATTGATTTATGTATTTTGATAATTATCTAGATCAAAGAATGCTTACAAGGAAATGAAGAAACACCATTTCAAACACTTATTTCAGAACTAAGAAATACTGTAATGAATAGTTATTGGAATAAAGAAATTGGAAAAACACGTTATCAAGTTCCAAACCTTCCTATAGGATTAAATCCACTGGACACAACTTTTGGGAAAAAAATTAAGTCTGGTAAATCATTTTAGTTATTCTGTGTATAATCATACATTTTTAATACAATACAGTCTTGATATACGGCTTTTATTTATATAATAAAAAATTTGTAAAGTTTAATTTATAAATTTATGTTTACTTATTCATTGAATGTCTTTTAAATTTTATATTATCTACCAAACAGTTTTTATTAATTCTGTAGAAGCAACTGTGGCTGAACTTCTTAAAGAAAAAGTGGATAAAAATAATATATTAGAGCAAGATATTTTAGAGATGTATAAAAAAAGTCACAACAGTTATTTGCCTGCAGAACAAATTAAAAGACGGTATGAAATAACAAAGTGATGAATTTGTAATTATTCTATATAAAAATACAAATTACATTTGCAGTTACAAAAAACCTTTTGATCAAAATTTATATTTTGGAAAACCAACTAATACTAGTACAGAAGGTGCTCGAGTAAAGAAACTTTTAACATGGGTTATTACTGATGTCAATAAAATAATTAATTCCGAGTTAGATGATTTTATAGAAGATTCACGTTCTGATATCAAAGAAGTAAGGTAACAAATATTATCGTTAAACTATTTTCAATTAATTGATGAATTGAATTAAGTATTTTTATTAAATATGATTAACTTTCTTTTAAGTATTATATGAAATAATTTTTTCAGAAATTTGAAAAATACACATATATGTACAAACGTAGTATCCAGTAAAATAAATGAAAAAAAAGGAGAGAACATACAGAGTATTTTAAATGAATGTTCCCCAAATAATGATCAGAAGATAATGCAATACAACTACTTAGAGTACATAAATAGTTTACGTCAAAGACTTAAAAAACGTGTTCCAGAAATTCCATTTGCCGATGTTTTTGAAGATTTAGTTAATCTTGATAAAGTAACATTTTAATTTTGTTCTTCTACATCACTTATCAATTATTTTGTATTTAAAAAGTACATAAATGACGAATCGTACATATTACGAGTTTATAGGATTACACAGAAATATTACCAGAAAATGAAGTCTTTCCTGTATTAGCTAAATATAAAATATATGTAAATGAAATACTTTTAATGCCATTATTGGATCTTCTTCAAATACGCAAAGGGAAAAATGTGAAGTACACTGCATTATTAAATCTTTTAAATTGGAAATATGATTTTCCTACATTACCAAAAATAGAGAGTAATATTTTTTTATTTAAGTAAGAAAAACATATATTTGAAATGAAAACTATATTTAAACATTTTCAGAAACACCTATAGAATGCCAAAATTATAGTACTACATATAATGAAACAATAGGGAATATAGAAGAAAAAAGTATTATAAGTTAGTATATTTATTTTACATAAATTCTATTTTATTAATGAATCTGCATTATTAACACATTTTTTTTCATTGAATTATATGTATACATGTTATATTTTATAATACATAAAAAAATTATATTTATAATATACAAATATGTTATAATAACTATCATATTTTATTTTACCTAATTTGTTACTGTGTACAATTACTCAATGTTCTATAATAATCTTAAAATTATTTTATTGAAAAATATATCTAAAATTGTTTTAATGCATTTTCTAGATGTTTCTGCAGCTGGGATTCCATCTAATATCACAGGAGAAAAAACTACTGCCTTCAATCTAATATTCCCAAATATTTTCACAAGATATGGTCTTAGTAATTTGGATCTTTCTAAAGTACATATCACATGAATTCATTTATATTATACTTAAAATCATTGTTAAAAAACTCTAACACTGCAGTAATAATTACACCAGTTATTTACTACCAACTTTTTCTAGGTTCGAAGTAAAGAAGAAATGAAAAGTATTTTTGAGAGGATTGGAATTCAATTTCCCAATGACAATTTTGATTTAGTTTGGGAAGAAGAATTTAAAAAAAGTGGTAATGGCAATCTGTCTATAGAAACTTTTAGACACCTATTTGATCAATATAACTATTAAATTAGTAATGAAACTTATTAGCACCTGTAACCTGTTATTAAAAATTCAATGTTTAATTATCAGTGGATTAATACTATATTTGTTTTATTTGTTCTATTATCTTCATCAACTTTTTGTATTTTAAATAGTGTATTGTAACTGTACACAGAAACAGAAATTGTTATATTTTTGCATAGCATAAAACTGTTTTAATGACTACTGAATTGTATATTGAAACATTGAATACCGAGCACTATAATCAGAACCTTGATATTTCTATGCTGTAGTATTAGTTAGAAGTTAACATTGACATTCAATGTAACATATACACAAGCAGAAATTGTACATATATAAAAATAATCATGTCAAACTATGATATATATATATATGTACACGCACACACATATATTGTATATTTACAAATACTTCTTACTTATATTAGTCTTTAGGTTTCAAGAATTTTGGTTTTTTTGGTAATGGTTCAAATTCATTATTACTTCTTAATGACGATTTAGAATTATATTTACTTTTCATTTTTTTCTTACCATTTCCTTTCCAACTTTCTGCCATTTGTTCATCTGAAATATCTTTTTCTTTTTTTGCTTCTTCTACAGCATTATAACTGTTTTGTTCTGCTTCCATCAGTTTTTCTATTTCTGGGTTCATTCCATGAAAACTTAACCTACCTTCAATTAAGTTTTCACAAAAGGCATAACTAGGTTCAATGATGAACCTCTCACTTAAATAAAAAGGAAATAGACAACTTGAAATATTAACTCATTATACATGGGTCTTTAAGTTTTATTCAGCATTTTAATCTCGTTTACGTGTATACTGTATCATTTACAGTAAACTTTTAAATTAGTATATGTACAAACTAAACAGTCATAAATTATTAAAACATTCAAAATAGAATTTTACAATTCACTTATTATAAATTCATTTTACGATTGTTATTTAAAATATTTTTATTAAAAAAATTAACAAAAACTTACGATTCTTGTTTCATACGTTTTGTTAGTTCATTTCCAAAGTATTCTTCGCCTTCTTCTTGAAACTGTTCTCTTTCTACTTTTTCTTTAGTCCGTTTCATAAACTGTTATTATATATTTAAATTAATCACATGAACAATTCTATATATAATACTTTCAAATAAAGTATGTAAATAATTAAAAATGTATAACCTCTTCGACTTACTTTCATTTCTAATATACTTTTCGATAACTTTGCCTTATTCGAACTCATTTTGATAATTTTAAATAAAAATTTTAGAATATATTCGATAATTTCAGATAATATTCAGTTGAAAATACACGTGACAATGTTTTCTTGTTATACCCAAATGTCACTTACGTTTCAGCACATGTATGTAAGCATATAAGCACGTGTTATTAATTTGTTTTTTTTTTTTAACCTGAACTTGCACTCTCAAGTACAAAGCCGATTTCATTAGGAAAAATAGCAGACGAAGGTGAAAATTGTTGCATTTATTGACTTTCTTGACTTATTGACACTCTTAAAACATTCTAAAGATAATTAGCATAATGTTTCAAAGCAATTTAAGAATATTAACATCTATTTAGCCAAAAAATATTAATTGAATTCGTCCTAAAATGGTACATGTATCGCTGTCTAGCGATTACCGGTAGAATTAGCAAAATAGAAATATTAGTATCAAAGAATTAGTATTACGATTAAAAGAATAGAAAAATATTGTATTAAAAGCGCCAGACAAAAAAATTTTAAATATTGCAATTTATGGATCTTAAAATGCTTAGAAAGCGATATCTAATGTAACTAAATCATAAACATTAATAATTTTGCATTGATTTCTTCTTTCAAATACTTTTAGTGCATTATGACATTTTTTTATTTCTATTGAAGTCTTAGAATATTCTACTCGGTGTAACGTAATGTGAAAGTTGTTAATTTTAGAGAAAATAGCAAATTTCTATAATGCGAGTTTAGCGGTTTACCTCTAGATAGCGGTAGCTGTACAATTTTCGATCGATTTCGAAATTGCGTCAAATTGCTTCAAAAGGCAATACTAATTCGCTTTTCAACGTTTCAGAGAAATTATCAAATGGGAGAAGTCAGTAAATGCAAAATTTGTATTCAGTAAATATACAGAATAGTATTGAATTTGTCTTTGTATTTAGTTATTAATTTTTATTTACACTTTTTATAATAGTCAGATTAAAAAATATTCAATGACTACTTAATGTAATGATTTATTTCTTTTCTTTCTCTGATTTAGTTGTAGGGGTATTTTCCTAAAATAAAAAATATGTTAATAATTACATGACAGTAGTTGGTATGATAATTATAAAAATAATAAATTTAAATAAATATAAAGGAAATGTTGGACAAAATAAAGGAGTGTGGATTTATGAAGGATACCTATTTAATTCATATTTATTTAATCTGGTGTTTTGAAGTTTGAATTCTTGTTGGACATTTCTTTGAATGTTACTGAGGACTTTGAATAATTTTCATTATTACGATGGAATGGAACTGGGCAACTTTTTGATAACTCATCTTCATTAAACTTTCCAAAAACTATAATTAAACATTTGCTAATATAATTTGAAAACTATAAGATAAAGTATTTAAGAATTTAAACAAGATATCATTAGATTAGTGAATTAAAAGTTTTACTAATAAGGTATATTGTATTTTCACACTTTGCAACAAATACTTTTAAAGTGCTATACTTAATCGAATTCACGAACATTATTCTGGGTAATATTATAAAAGAAAATGGCAAACTATATTGATATTATAAAGTAAGGGAGGAATGATGCAATATGGTGATATTATGGTTGCATCCTACCTCCGGTTTGTCAGCTGTATTCAATGCTTTCTGTTTAAAAGGTTCAGTTATCATACGAAAATATTCTGATTCAAGCACACTTTTCACTAGTGGAATTTCTTTTAATGAAATTTCCTTTTGGTCATCTCCTGGTTTCACTGAAATTTGTATGCATCACAATGAAATCTGACAGTTTTTCATTACTAATTTATATTTTGATATATTACAAGAATATTTATCAATTGTCTTTTGTTTAGTTTCAAATAAGTTAGATTTATAAATAATCTCTGAAATTAGACTGTGACCTACACAAATTATAATAAACTCATTTCAAGTTTAGTAAGATACATAAGAAATATTTTCGTATTGATAATAATTAGTAACATTAAAATGTCTGCAATAAAGTTTATATTGTTTGCCATTTATAATATTAGTATAGTGGAGTTTCAATTATTCAAGTTTTATGTAAATAAAATGTTATATTTGCTAGGTATTTTGAAATTTATATTGCATAACAACACTGCAACATTTTATAGACTATGTTATCCAGATACTTGAAACTCTACTGTACATCAATTTTTTATGTGTCTAAAATCTTTTTATGTAAAAATATTTAAAAAAAAACTTATGCTTATTATTTCATATTATTTATGATATATATATATAAATACTTGCCACCATAAATAAAATTATAAGTAATATTTCCATAGTGTTCCACTGTATTAAATGTCTCTTTTGCTTCTTTAGGAAAACAGATGCACCCTATAATACTAGCACCTGTAGTTGTATACAGTAATCGCTTAAACATGCCTCCTCTAAGACCCAGTATTAAACCTGATAAACCACCAATACCAACAGCTCCTATTCGTGGCATAAGATTAGCTTCGTCTTGAAGATAATCAACTATGACTGAAGACAATTAATATTTAATTGCATTAAATAATCTATTCTTTCAAATCCAACACCTTATTATAAATGTAAATATAAAAACTTTATCTGAATATAAATACATACATTTAAATTGCTCAAGAGTACTTGTAACATTATAGGAGATATTATCTATTTGAACTTTTATCTCTTGTACCGTTTTACGTACTCTTCGAATATTCTCTTCCACAATAGCAGGATATTCTACACTATAAAGAATCAAAATCTCTTTTATATTATAAATTACTTATAAAACATAATCTGACTTGTTTTTTTGAGAAAGACATCTTAAAGAAGTTATATATTTACATTTTAAATTAATAAAATTATTGTAAAACGTTTATCAATATGAAATTACTTGCGCTTTACCATGGCATCTGTTTAGTATACCCATCTTCAGCAGAATAAATGGGTAATTCAGAAGGTTTTATTAATTTCTTTGCTTGTGTTTCATTACTACATGATGTAGTGTGTTGTCCAGGTGGATCAGCAGGTTTCATTGCAGGTACAGCAGCGCATAGCCCACACGGCATCAAGAATTTCTTGAACAACTTCATGTAAACATATTATATTTTTCTTTCGAGTGTTAATAACGATACTCAAATAATTTTGAAAATTTAATCTAATTTGCATTCATCATAATTCTCTTAAAGCTTTATTAGTAAGGCTAAGGAATTTTATGAAATTTTAACACTCATTATTTCCTACACACTACAGTAAATATGAAATAAAGAAAACTCGGTATAATATTTGGTAGATTTATGATATTATAATACTGATACGATATGGATTAAAAATAAAGGGCTAACGTAATCTACACCTATATAACTTTATATGTAATTACCACTGATCGGTGCATTTTGAAGTATATAAAATTCAGTAATTCTTTTTAAACATATAATTTATGTAGATATTAGGTCGAAGTACATTACACTACTGACAAGAAATATTAGCCATCGCTTCTTAAATAATTTGGTACTCGCAAAGTACTTTCGAAGTCCGAGGATTTAGCAAGAATGCGACATCTACTGCAAATTTCACATAGCGCCATGATAATGAAATATTTAAAAAGAAATTAAGATTGTTTTTTTGGAAATTGATTATAATTATAGTGTCGATTATTTTTATTTGTTTATTTGTTACAATATCAAAATCTTTTTCCAATCTTAATTATCGACATGTACAAACACATTAAATATTTGCTAGTAATTTCATGAAAACTATAGTAAGTATATATTTAATAACCGTTAATACTTTTACAAGTTTTGTTTTTAAATATATTTTTAATGAGTATGTTAAAAAATAATCAAAATGCATAGATATATTTATCTAAAATATTCTAATTACGAAAATATTAAAATTATAATCAGGCGCATAAGATATTATAAAAGTAAAGAAAATGAGTACACTTACCAAATTTATATTTTGCTTTTACAGAAATTTATGTGGAAATAGTGTAGGATTTAATAATTAAATGTAAAAAGCTTAGTACATTTTACATTCATATTACTTTATACAGACGTGATATGACATGTTAGTTTACGTAGTCATTTATAAAACTTCACAATGATAAAAAAATGAACAAAAGACAATCACAGAATTGAGAAAAATTTATATTTTTATTTATATAGGCTGTCCCAAATATAATATACAATTGACAAATTAGTACATATTCTTCACATTAAGATTTAATGTACACAATCAATTTTCTTCCGCGCAATCATGTGTTTTTCTTTGTTTTCTTAGTGAAAAGCAACAAAGACAGGCATATGACCGCTTATATTTCAAAACTAAAACCATATTAAAAGAATTTTTCATTTCTTGTTTTCGACTATTTGTAGGACACCCTATATAATAAGTTAATTATACAGAATACAGATAAACAAATACAAATTTTAAATGCGTTATTATAATACGTTAATTATTATTCAGTTAATCTCTTGATTTCAATACCTACTTTTATACCGGTTCGTCCAAATTCTACTAACACACCTGGTTGATAATCGTCGCAACGGTATACTGGCTCTCTACAAGTTATATCTTTACCAAATATATTACCAATAGTAGATTCCAAAAATTTATGCACGTAATTGTTCATAACAATTTTAAATGATGTGGTGTATGATTTTTAGTATATTAAATATTTAAAATTAAAATTTCAAAGTCTGTATATTATATACAAAATAAAATATAATTATGAAGTCATTTTTAATTTGGAAGTTTATCTATTTTCAGATATATCGCCATTTTGTTTTTTTTATTACATAAATTTTAATTCCAATTTTTACCACC